TACTTTAAAATAATTGGTCGCTCTAATGTAATAACGATAAGGTAAATATTTGAATTACCTAATCGTCACGGAGCAGCAGAGAAGAAATTGAAGAAGATGGTCGATTCCACCGTGGTTCTGGGAAACAAGGATTATCAGCTTAATGTCTGGGGGGAGTCGTCTGCTTTGATTCTTATTGTCTCGCATTTGCACACAGATTAAAAGGGCACAAAAGTCGTGTGTGCGAGCACGCACTATCTCCTGAAATTGCTTACTCACCGGTACGTTATCTTCGTCATTGGTTCTGGCTCGGGTAGGCTATCTTTCTCAAATACGTGCTTCAACGAAGAGATAAAGGCTCTTAGAACCGAGAAACAATTAGCAGCAGGTACCTAAAAAAAACTCATTCCTAAAAAAACATCGCGTTTGGCCCACCTTGAAGTTTTAGATTTCGAAGCATACATGGCTGAAGAAGATTGGGCACGCTGACATCGTTTCGCCAAAACTTTTTATGTATACTTTAGAGGTTGACTCGGAGATGGTAAAATTTTAAATACAAAACAAAAACGGCATTCTCAGAATGCCCATGTTCCACGTAGGGTGCGTGTTGGGAAAACACCGCCGAATAGGCCCATATTCCAAGATTCCGGCGCCGTGCTTGGCCTATGTAAACGTTCCGCTATCTCGGAAGCAGCACGCTGCGTAGCCTCCCGCGTTCGTTGTTTAGACAAGATAGGACGGCCTTGTGAGAATAAAGTCAAGCCGGTGATGACGGAAGGGGGATTCGACCGCTCGTCACTCAATGGGCAATTTTCGCTACACAAACCTGAGTTTTAGGAATGCACGAGGGTATTCATTATTTTGGAGGTTACCTATGAAAACGTGATGAAGGTTGTACGACCCTTTGATTTTTCCTTGAGAACGTCGGAGATTTTTAATAAAATCCAGATATATGACCGTTTTGACTGTTTTGAGCGCGTTTTGAGACATTTTTGAAAATACAAATATTTAGAGGAAAAACAAGACAAAACGCTTGGCTGTGCGCACTAAGGGTGCCTCTAATCTTAATTTTGAGACCACGACGAGAAAACAAAATAATGTTGTATTTGCGTATTTGTGTAAATAAAATTACCCTATTAATTTTATTTCCAACGTGCTAAACGAGACGGCGACACAAGTACTAAATGCCTCAAAACGGAGATTCTATTGTTGTTGCTGTTTTTCTCTCGAGCTCGAACTCGACCTCGATGTCTGGTTGCTCGGGGATCGGTATCGCGTGTAGCGAAAGCTCGCGCTGTAAAGCTCACTGATCGTGGATTCAATCTCCCCCCTCGGTCCATTTCAATCTGGACGAGCATCGTATCGTACCGGCGTGCTGTCATGTAGCACTATTGCGTGATGCACGTTGAAAACGTCAGACAAGCAGTGGTATACTCCACTGGCTTTAATCTCCAACGAAGACACGAGACGCCCTCGGGGCTGACTAGCTTCCCGCTGCATAAACATACACACAACAAAATTACAATTGATGGCACCGTTGGTTGGCACTTTTTTAACGCTGCAAAAAAGAATAACTAGCGTGCCCATTAGTGACCAACCCGAGGTTCCGCGACTTTGTCGCGAAGCTGCCACAGACCTGCGATGAACTTAGACCCCTCCTTCGTGATGCCTCACAGTACATTATCAGCGCCCCAGATTGTATCGCACTGTATTATCATTATCAGCCCCTATACGGGCCTCTCCGGCATTCATTGTAAGGGCTACATGCCTCTCTGTGGCACCTGCTCGCACTAGCACCACATAAGACCATGCCTACCAACAAACGAGTATTTTTTTATGCGTTACATCTGTGAAAGCGCTCGTGTTCCTTGATGAATCGGGGAAATATCGATGCTTGCAAGTGCTGACGAAACTAGATTCTGACGAACAGTAAGAACAGATGCCATGCATAATAGGGTGTTTAAATCCCGCACACAAAGTTGCGTTTTAGAGCGTTTGACTGCGCTGCGCCAAGAAACAAAAGCGAGTTACCTGCACATCTATGCTTCGTATGAAGCGTGGAAGAGTATAGAGAGTTTTAGAATAGGGGGCCCCAACGCTTTGGGGAACCCAAGGCTTTGGGGTACCCAACGCAACGACACCTCACGCAGCGTGCTTATAGAATAGGGTTTGTGACGACGCAACGCGGCACGCTCGCCTTTTTCGCATGCAGCGCCATTGTGGACAACGAACGAACTTCTTAACAGCGAAAAATTATGAAAACGTAAAACATTTGCGCTGAAACGACACTTGATTGTGGCTTGCGGTTCAAATCATAGTGACGGTAACACCAGTTGGAACGGCACAGCGAGGCCCACTTGCCGACCGTCTCTGAATCAGAAGATTTACTTGTCTGGTCACAAGAGAGTGCACGCCCTCAAACACCCGGCTATCATGTGCGCCAATGGAATTATCTGCGAACTCGACGGGCCATTCCCCGGTCACAGGAACGACGCTGGTAGGTGTAGCTTGCGTTTAGCCCATCCTGTAGCTGAAGCAGTACGACAGTTATAGAGAGTTTTATAACAGGGGGTCCCAAAGCTTTGGGGCTCCAAAGAAATAAGTGCTAAGCACTGCGCATGAGTAATAACCCAAACTTCGTTTGGGGTTTGGGTTGGCGCGCGCCCCCAAAAGTAAAATTCGAGAAATAGCGTGGGGCCCCCAATTGCTTGGGGCCGGGTTGTGTCGGCAAACATAAAGGCGCCCTTTCCGCTCGCTTCGGAGCAAATTCGTCATGGTCGTTGCAGTATCAGCCAATTTCATTGCCAATGAATAGTGCAACCGGCTGTCGCTTTGCTTTATCTCGCTCAAGTCAGAAAGAATGAGCGGTGTACCTCAATATACCTTTCACTTTTCTTATATTTTTTTTCTATACCGCGTTTACACTGCTGACTTGTATAAGGACCGTAAAGCAGTGGACGACACCACTTTTTTTTCGCCACCCTCAGTTTGTGATACAAGCTGAAATGAACGCTGATTGATTGATTGATTTATTGATTGATGCGGGTGTATTTGGGGCTATCCGTTTGGTCTTTGTTGGCATGTGGAGACTGCGCTTTGCTCGTGCCTCGTTTCCTGTTCTGTGTTCGGTCACTTGCTCCAAGTTTGCAACCGGTTCAGCTTTACCCTGAGTGTGCCAATCCGTAGTTGATCCGGCGCCAAACCAGGGTTGTTCGTACTGCCTGAGCATCCCTCCCTCCCTCCGCCGCCGCCTGGTTCAGTCAGTTGCGTTTGACTGCGTTGCGGCTGCGAGAAACCAGGACATTCCTGCTTCTTATGCTGCGTGCCAAGGTGATTCCTTGAATTGGATTCCCCGCTTCATACGAAGCACAGATATGCCGGTGACTCGTTTTCAGTTCTCGACGCAACGCAGTCAAACGCACTCAAACGCGAGTGTCTGAACCGGCCTTCATAGCGCCGCATCGCAAAAGGCTGACGTTCTCGTCGCGTGATGCGCGCTCCAGGGAGAAATCACCGAGATTTCTCCCTCGTATGAATACACCTTTTCACGGGAGGGAGAAATCCCGGGGATTTCTCCCCGGCACGCGCGCATCCCGAGATGAAAACGCGAGGCTTTTGCACATCGCAAAGCCTGACGTTTTCGTCGTGAGATGCGCAGTGCCGGGGAGAAATCCCCGGGATTTCTCCCTTGTGTGAAAAGGTGTATTCATACGAGGGAGAACTCTCGGTGATTTCTCCCTCGTGTGAATACCCCTTTCATAGCCGATTCACACGACGGACCGAATCGCAATTTTCGTCCGCGGACCGTGTACCACGTGACCGGCACGTCACCGATTCCTACGATCTGCGCCTCGTCCGCGGACGCGCGGACTGATAAAGTCGAGCGCCTTTTTCACTCGCGGGCATTTGGCGGGAGATTGACTTGGAAAGCATTTAGTCTGGCGACGGTACATGGTTTTCTTGGTTTTTTGCTTATAGGCGTTCAAAACAAAAATGGCGCATCGTTGTGTTTTGTGCGTTTGTTGGTTCATTTTGTCGCACGATTCATGGTTCTACGCGTGAAAGAAACTCCAGGAACTTTGTCCGGCTGACGCGACGCAGGTTCCGGTGCTCCTCCGCGTCCGTGTCAAGAAAGTCCCGTCAAAACTCGTCTAGCACGCCGCGATAATTCCTCCACGTCCAATCAAGATTTCACCGAGCAAGACCTCTCTTGTGGATGTGGTGTGCTTAAAGGACCCATGAAACGAATTTTGGGCTGGAGTAAATCAATTTATATTGGGATCTTACTAATAGCACATCGTTCAGTGGGCCAAAAGAACAAAGGTAGAAAGTCAGAAGCCTGACTTTCGCTACGAAAATTTGCAAAACATAGCGGACTATTTCGTACCTACTCCCCTTCGTAAACTCTCCGCCTTTTCACTGTGATACATCCGCGGACCCCGCAGCGCGTCACCGGGCTACTATAGTCGGTTACAAGTCAAGAAGGTAGGAGAAGCTCCTCCCACAAGCGTGATGCGCCCGTTTCAAATCTCTCCGCAGTCGAAAGAAGTGTTCACTGGAAACGCTCCTTGTTCCGCTTCAATGGATTCCAACTTGTCACCGATCGCACTTTTCAAGAAAGCGACCTTTGTATTCATTGCAGGGGGAACCGAGCCCCTGAAAGCAGCCTTTGTATCCATCGGAGGGGGAAGCTAATCCCCGAAACTCGTAATTGTTTCCATCGGAGGGGAGGGAGGGGGGGGGGGGGGGGCAACTCTAATCTCCCTCTCGTGGCTTCCACAATGCTAAGTCAAAGTCGAAAGATAAAGCAAATATGTACAGAAAGGCCAGACCCTCCTCGCGCGTTCGCCGCGACGTCACGGAAACGATGGGACGCTATTGGATGCGAAGGTGGCGGAGGGATATATGATTCCCTTTGAGGGGCATTTGCCGCTACCTTCTTAACCTGTAACAGCCGGGAGAAGTTTGGGTGGCGCCCTCAAACGGCCGACGGCAGTGACGTCACGCGGAGGACGCTTTCCCATCCGCTCGCCGAGTTCGCCTTTGGAACGCCGTGACGCCGTAGTACTCGGCAGACTTTCGCTTCAAATTTCCTTTTTTTCGCCACGTTTTTCGTTCCGAGTATTTGTTTGCATTCGTGTTTACGAAAGGACAGCGACGGGGAACTCTGTTGACCGTGTCTTGGATCCTCTTTCTCCATGAACGACGCATGCAGCAGCGATCGAGTTCCAGGTAAGCAATCCCGCTCTTCGTTTTCCGCTTCGTGCGGTACCGGTGCTGTGCCGGTGCGTTGATGGAAGATATTTGGCGTGGAAACGTGGTAATGCCTGTGGTTGCTCGTCACTCTCTAACCAGCAAGTTCGTCTTATCTCTTTGCAGTTGCGCTGCCGCTGACAAGCATCAATCGCTATGTAAACAAGGCGTGCGAGACGAGTCGGTGCCTCAATGAGGCCGAGGATGTTTACTACGCGGGCCATGTTGTTGAGTGCGCCGTCGAAACGGTTCACGACTGCCGTTTCACCTTCCTGGCGTTTGTCCTACAAACTACCGCGATTGGTAGTGCCCCCCACGAAGTGAGGATCACCGTGAAGATGTCGGAGGTGGATCAAGCCAGCTGCTCCTGCAAAGCAGGGTAAGCTCTGTTTACTGCCGACTTGTCGGTCAAACGCCTGGCACGTCCTTGTTTTATATGGCAACCTAAAGTGTCTGGATATCTGAAAAATATCCGACTATCCGATCTTATTCGGCTATTTCAGTTCGGTAAGAAAAGCAACTCGTGCATTGTCTTTGGGGAAATTTTGGAGTTGCAAAGCTCTGCCCCGGCCCCCTTCCCTCGTATTGTTTACTGGAATGGCCCGAGTAGATTGGGGGGAGACCTCCTCAACCGTGATATGTGTAGTGAACCTTCTTCTCGGAATGAGGTTAATTAATTCTGTGCTCAGCGGTAACCCACTGGACCAGATTTGAGGGCGAGCCAATCTGTTCTATTTTGTGCATCAAATAGGGGGTACCCGGTCAAACCCTTTGCTACAACCCAAAAAATACAATGTCAACTTGTCCTGCCTTGTGAAGAATTGAAGTGAACTAAAGCTGGCCACGCTGAAACTGTGACAATATTAAGATCTTCCAGAAATTTATTAATATAAATTTCTGCGATATGCTTCATTAGCTTACGATGGATGTGAGCGATTGGGCCAATAATTTGTTGCACATAATCTATCAGCCTTCTTGCAATATGGGATAACAAAAGCTGATTTATTTCTTTACAGGAACTACAAATGCAAGCATATTGTAGCTGTCCTTCTGCACATTAATGCAGAAAGAACGTTTGAGCAGCTGTCATCAACTGACCAGCCTCAAAAATGGGGCAAAGCGCAGAAGGAGCGCATAAAAGAGAAGTACGAGCCGAGGATGATGATCGACCTTCCCTGTGCAAAGAAGGTATGTGTAAGAGTCACAACCAGGCACGTAGCCAGGGGGGGGGGGGAGGGGGTGCACCCCCCTTCGAAATCTTCCATTTTGCTGGTACCTCCTCTCCCCCCTCCCCCTAATACAGCATTTTGCCATGAGCCTCCCCCCCCCCCCCCCCCTCCCCTCCTCCCTCTAAAACAAAATCCTGGCTACGTGCCTGGTCACAAGCCTTTCTAATGGTGAATTCCACTCGTAGATCCGGAGTGCTTTCCAAAATCCGCGAGGGTGGCAAAATCTCGCTCCGTGGGACACGCCTTGAATCGACAAGGGGAAGATAAACTCACATTTTTGGGGCGACCTCCCCCACACCCCTCCCCACCGCTTCCCCCTCCGCCGTTCGAAATGGCCGCTGCTCGAACTTGACAAGCCCACGAACGCCTTAGCCAACTGATCTTTCCGACGACCAGTGACAGCTGTCACTGCTGAGCTGCAGAAATAACATGCGACACAGGCCGGGTGAACTTATACGTACCACGGCGCCTATGTCACAAATAACGAAGACGTCCGCGTTCGGCACCGTCACATACCTTTCGGCCGCCTCGAAGCGGCGGGGCACGGACAGCGATTGCCAGCGGTGGAGTTCAGATTTGTAGTACGACTTTAATAAACACAGAGGTAACAAACCATCACTTGCACGGTCGTTGCCTAATCTCTTCTTGCTTTACTGCATGAGAAAATGCCGGCGGAATGCAATGTAAACAGGCAAACAATTCTTGGCTGCAGAATGAACAGGCCTAACCTTGCGTCTGCCTCCGGCTTTTCTGTCGTTCTTCCTCTCACAATCACAGATGTCAGCGCTTGCGATTTACCACGCTCCACAGTCCTGGCTTTATATTTCTGATCTACGCGAGGTAGAAGCGTTCGAGCCGTCACAATTCCACATAAACAACCGACGCATTAGATCCAACTCGACGACCCGACCTCGCCAACCTCGCCGTGCATTCGCACTGCCGATTTAGAAGGAGATGACGTAGGGCGCTCTGTTAACTTCCGTATAGATCTGTGAAATCCTGCAGAGCAAGCTCGGGAGGATTTGAGGCGCTCCGTGGAGAGGGCACTGCCATAGATCTACGAGCGGAAGATGATCAGCTCGAGCTAGATCTGCAAACGGAATATGCACGCTCCAAATGGATCCCTTTTGGAGCGCTCGAGATCTGCAAGTGGAATTCACCATAATACTATGAGGGATGAAAAAGCAGGCGACTTGAAGGGCAACTGGGACAAGGATCTCCGACATTGACGCATGACAAGCTACCTCTAATCTTTTCGTTAAATGGAGCGCAACTCAAGCCCCTGAGGCAACTAGTGTAGGACTAAACAAAACCGCCTAACCTAGGCATCAGTCCCAAGACCTCTTAATCATTTGTAGAGCATGTGATCACCTGAGCCAAACAAGAGCTAGCCTGGTCCACTCAAGCACCACAAGGGTGCATACCAAACTTTTAAATTGTTACATGTAAAGGTTTTGGGGGAAATCCCCAAGGCTGGATTTGTTGCATTCAGTTTAGGGGAAGTTCCCAAGGTTGAATTTGTTGCACTACATTTAGTTGGAAGATTAAAGTTATTGTGTCATACCTCTACTCCAGCTTGACGATTTTCCTGAACTTGCATCTAACAATTTAATTTGGATGCGCACACTTGTGGTGAGCACAGTAAACTGCTGGTGGCTGTTAAAGGGATACTTCAACGAAATTTGAAATATTTCTGTCGTGTTCAAAAATAGGTTGAATATGATCCACAATAACCGTAAATGACAATCGCACGTTTGTATTTTGAGCCTGGTGGCTGTATTTTTTGTTACAAACGGCCCACTCTGGCTAGTGCTCGGAGAAGGCTCAGCGGAGACCACGTGACATCCGACGCAATCGTGACGTAGGTCGTCTTAGGACGAGCAAAGCTACGGTGAGGCTGACGTCGAAAGGATGGTCTAGTCGTTCCAGCCACCGAAGCGGCTGCTTTTGTACAAATTTTGAGTGGCGGGTTAGTCTTCTGTAATCTTGTAGGGTGACAATATCGACTTCTGCGACACACAAAAGGCATTCTCGGGAGGAGGGGAGTTCCTCCTGCCCCTTTTCTCTCGTCGTGGCCGGAGGCGAGACAACCTCCGTCACTAGCTATCAAAGTTCCTAGACGGGCATTACAAGCGAGGCGTTAGCGACATCCACCAGGTGCTCTTTGCTAATCGTTTAATTTGTTTTAAAATTTCTTTTCGTGACTTTTTTAACGAGATATTGGTATGTTCGATGTGATGCTGCTCCTTTGAACACATAGAGACCAAAAAATGAGCGCCGAAATTTCGTTGTAGTATCCCTTTAACATCCGTGTACTCTACTGTTGCCCAGTTCCTGATTGTCTGAGTTAATAGGGTCTTGAAAAATAATGAGTCGGAGGTGAATTCTAGCGTTTTGATGCCCGTGAACCCGAATATCTGAACCATTCGCTGCACAAGTACTGTTAAACGCGAGAAACCACGAAAAACCTGGCACTGTTCGTGATGTCCTCGACGGAGCCTTCAACTTCCCAGAGCGGCGGGGCTTCAGCCCTATTTTGAGATTGCTTTTATGGCTCTCCTGTGCGTAGAATTGAATATACATTGGTTTTTCTAAAGACCATATGAACGCAATTCAAGTAGTTTTTTTTCTCTTCTCGAAATGAACACTGCGGAGGCAAGAAGAAAAAAAAGACAGTGTTGCCCAATGCAGTGGCGTCACAAGGGAGGGGGCGTCTGTCGCGGCGGGCCACAGTGGCGGGGGGGGGGGGGGGGGGGGGGGGGGTAGCGGAGGGCTAGCGCCCTGGGTGCCACTGGCCCAATGCTCGACAGGCCGCACCACACTTAAAATTCAGCAGTGGAAGCTGCGGACTTGTAATGTGGACGACTGAAGTAATCATGGCATGCCTCTAGCCAGTCTTGGTGATCTCCCCTAATCATTTACAACCGGTAGCTACGCAGGCTGTTTAAACTATTTAGCTGGCGAAATCTTCCTTTTTTAAGCTTCGGTTAAAGGTATTTATGTTGATAGTTAATTTCATCTCTATGCACAAGCTTCACTCCTGCAACTGTCTGCAAGCAAATCAGGTACAGATTTTATTTTAGAAAAGAAAAAACAACAAGATCAGTCTCGATTTCACAAAAGTCGTGTATATTAGCTGTCACACATGTAATGTTACCAGCTTGGGGGTAATACTTTGAATAGTTAATGCTTACCGTAAAATACTGAGCATCCACACATTCCCTACTAAGTGCCCACCCCAAAATTTTGCAACATCTGAAAAAGTATGCACAGTAGATAAATAGGTAAAATTAATGACCTAACAAGTGCACATTCACCAATTTTTGCGATTATCTTCATATTTTGAGTGGGCGCTTACTCGGCGTTTTACGGTAGTGCAAAGAAACCTTGCTTTGCCAAGCAATAAACTAGTAGCCATACATGAACTGGAAATTAACCCTTTTCAAAATTGGCTATTTAAAAGCAGTGAATAATCTGATTGCCACGCCGATCATCGATCTGCAGCTTGTTTCTTGACATCTCGTTATTTGACTTCTTACAGGTAAAGATCAAAGAGGTTCCTCAACTTCAGGGGAACATCCTCCAGAGGCTCCTCAAGAATGTAGGCCATCGTTCTGCAGCCAAGATGCATTTAGAACCAGCAGTTGAAACAGGTATGCACAAGTCATCAGCTTTAGGTCTTGTGACCAGGTATGTTAATGCACCACAACTTGCCGATATGTAGAGTGAAGCCTGTTCTGCAGAGCCGGATGTCATCAGTTTGATTCCTATTCCTGGCAGTTGAATGCATGTGCATTGTACCATTGTGCACGCATGTACTATGTTTGCCAATATCAGATACAACATGGTGCTGCATGGCTTGCGGTACTACCAGTGCCGCCTGCTAATGTTTCGAAACACTAGATGTGCTCTCGTCTGGCACAACCATTGTCATGGTGAGTGCGTTGCTTGATGTTTGAAGGTGTCGTTTTTTTTTGCATAGTTTGATTAATATTTATTTTGTCAACCTGGTTAGACTTCAGCACGCTGTGTCATGCAGCATGCGAATCATTCAAAACGTTGGAAGCCGGTGTTAATGTAACCATTTTAGTTTCTTTACTAACACTTCACACAAGCAGTCCCACTACAAGTGCGTGAAACTTGAAAGCCGTCTTCCTTATGCTGCATGAATGAAGCTCCATGCCGACGTGGCTTGTTATAACAAAAAGGTATAAATCAGACTGTGCAAGAGAACACGGCATATCAATTACTGTCCTTCGTACGCTTGGTTGCATAGCAGACGAAGTGAAATTTGGCATTAGTGTTATGAACACAGATCTCGTCCTCGGTGTTGATTCAGTTTCAAGAAGCACCTAGCAGGCGGCACAGGTAGTACGGCAAGCCAGGCGATGCAGTGTTGTATCTGATACTGGCCGGGAGAGTATCGTTTACCCATCTAACTCACAACGGTTGTGAGTCTTGCTGCACTGGCCAAAGGGTTCTTCGACAGTGAAGCCATGAGATGTCACATGTCATGGCTGACTACTTTCGCATTGTATTAATACAGAACCAATCCCGAGGGAGTTAGTTATAATGGGGTTCTTAAGGCTCGTTCGCACACTTGTAACCGAGTACGACCGAGAGAGACAAGACCGGTTTCTAAGCCTCTTGCGACGTCTTAGACCGGCTGCGATGCTGCAGAGCTGGTCCAAAGACGTCGCAAGATTGGCTTAGAAACTGGTCTTATCTCTCTCGGTCGTACTCGGTTACAAGTGTGCGAACGAGCCTTTATGCTCATGCACCTTTTGCTCATATAAGTGAGCTTACAATGAAGAGGTAAGACCAACTACGAGCTTGCTTAAAAACATTTGTGTTCAATATCTTGCTGTCACTATTTTATGGTAAATCGGATGTGGAGCTCAGTCGGTTTTATCAATGTGTTCATAGCAGACTCATGAAAAGCGAGTGTCGAAGCTGTAGACTTGAATAGCTGGACTGTCGTGAAATTAGAACAGCCAGAAGTCCAATTCTTGCCTTTTCTGCTATTTCTGACTTATACTTTCACGGCAGAAATTAAATGCCATGCTTACTGGCTTAAGTTAAAGGAGTAAACTTTATGCAAGTAAATGAGCGATTCAAGATAGTAATATTTAGGGTGAAGAATGGACTCAGTCATTATTTATGTCGGTCAGAGCAGCAACAAACATTGTTGGCTATTTGGAGACATTGAAAAACCTTGGGGGCATATTAGTGGGTCTGTTTTTGTGTACCTTATGGAGCATTCCACTGGTCATTTTGGGGCAACAACCAAATTTCGCGATGGGGCACGCAAATCTCGCGAGGCACCCCGCCCCTGAAACCACCCGTGGAATACGACCTCTCCTCCTGGAGCGGCCTAGATACCCGAATGAGAGAGCGACATGCACGGCAATAGCAGATAGCCGATCTCGGCCGCCTTCACATTTCTGTTACCGTGCCTTGTCCGTGCCTTGTCCTTTTGTGGCACAACAACAAATGAACAGGCAGGGGCTTTCTTTTAATATGGAAACAAGTTTTATTTACTTTTATTCTTCAAAAGGTGAGGCTCGCATGGCTAGATGTGAGAAAAGCGATACACCGTTTAAGGACGACGAACACTTCAGAAGTTTGCTGAGAGCATGAATCTCGCCACGTGCATTTTTCCACAGTGATGTAGAAGCAAATGCCATTTTCACCGCAATAAATCAACAGGAGATATGATTCCCAGCCCACATAATGAAATCAGCGTTCGAGATTACTAGCCCTAACATACTCGGCTCACTCTGGCAAAGAAAATGTTCAAACTTTTGTATTCTCTGTACACACTAAAACAGTACATACCAGTCTCAGCTTGAGCTTGAGCACACACATGGCGACTGGCATGCAACGCGAGATAAGAAGTTGCCCCAAAACAACCAGCGGGATTCCTCCAGGCCATCCCTTGACCAGTTTGAATCCCCCCCGATGTCGGCAAAGTGAGTTTTGCTTGCTCCTAGTATGGAGTTGGCGCTGCTTCAAAACGTCCAGCGGAAGACATGCGAATTGATCCCGATCGTCCAGTGGAAGACATGCGCTCCAAACAAAGGCGAGCCCAGCGCGCGCGCCAAAACTACCAGTGGAATTTCTCATTAGAAATAGGAGTTGGAAAGCAAAACCATTCCATACGCTCCTGGGTGCTTGGGTAATCTTGCTCAATCCTCATTGTGAATAGTGTAGCTGCTGCCTAGCCAAGATATTTTTAAACAGGCTCCACTGAACTCAGTAAGTAGAGAGTTTTAGAATAATATACGCAATTTTAGCGCACGCTGACACTAAGTTTTGCGCTTGCGTTAGCGCTCGCGACACAAGGGAGTTTTAGAATAGCGTTTCTCCACTGCGACGCAAAAGCCTAAGCATCTCGCGCTTGCAACGCTACCAAGATACAGTCAACAGTTTTATTTCACTGACGAAATGCTTTAACTGGATAAAAAACAAAATTTTTGGTTCAGAGTAACATTTTACATTTGTTTAAACGTGAGACTACAGCGTGAGCCGTCGACCGGTCGTGTCCGGATGCGTCGCCTCGGCAAAAGTATACTGACCTTTGCCGATAAACGTTCGCTCGTCGCAAGCACCAAGTTGCCGGTGATCATTGTCCACCTTACCGGGTTTTCCTAATTGACTGCAATGTCGTCCTGTATTGAAAATCACAGTCGCGAGGATGTTGCCGACGTCGCGCTCACAATGCCGCCAAAGCTGCCGCAGCCATCGTCCTGGGGGGGTTGCCATTTATTTAACTGTGCTCGTCTTGGCTTTAGCCAACTTCACATCACGAATCCTCCTTGGAGAAGCGCAAAGACCCTTTGCGTACTCACACATTTTCCGAGAAATAGCGCAAGCAAAACGTGGTTAGCGTTTGTCGCATGCGCAGTGGCGACGTCGCTATTCTTTGCGTATGCAAAGCTTTTGCGTGCGCTATTCTAAAACTCCCTAGTGTTTGTGACCTCGCACTGTCAGTTTAATCTGACCAGCTGCGTCGTGAATGGAATCAGGGCTGCAGTTTGCCTCTTATGTTTTGTAGGTTGCACAGCTATGGTCCATATGAATATGCACATGCTACTGTCTACCACTTCGTACAGGCGGTGCCCTGAAGCAATGGCTGTGCCAACTTGTAAGCCCTATCGTGTGCCTTCCTATGCTCACGAGACATAGCCTGCATGGCTTTCATGGCCAGCACCCCATGGCACTGCCAGTGCAGAGCGGTCAGCAATCGCACGTTCACCTCCGTGTGAACCATGACTGTACATTATCTGATGAGGACGCAAACAAAGTGATGCTACAATTTATTGACAATTTTCCTGTATTTTCGTGCAGCCATGGAAACCAGTATGGATCCTGACACTGTTTCGGAACCAGCACCAAGAGACCTTACTCTGGTGGGTTGCCTGGACGAGTTGAGGAGACTCGCCGGGAGCCGCGACAGTGGACTGCCGCTCAACGAGGTGCTGAAGCACTTGCATGAGAGCAAGAGCTCTAAGGACTTGCAGGACATTGAGCAAGCCACTCGCGACCAGGCGAAGTCTGGTCTGTGGATGCGCCACAGGGTCGGAATGATTACTGCCTCTGTCGCGTACAGCGTTTTCACGCGAGTGAAAACACTCCGAACAAAGATGGGTCCACACGACCTTAGACCTCTACTGAGGAAGCTGATGAGACAAACGTATGTTAGGACGCCGGCAATGTCTCGTGGAAGCGCACTTGAGGGCCCCGCAAAGGAGTGCTACAAGACCAAGCAGGCTCAACACCAAAACCTGGTGTTGAGCCAGTGTGGGCTTTATATCATGCAAGGGCGGCCCTACATTGGTGCCAGTCCTGACGCACTGGTAGAGTGCCAGTGCTGTGAAAAGCGGGTCCTCGAGGTAAAGTGCCCAGAAAGCATGGTTAAGTTCCTTGGAGAAATCGCTGAGAAAAGTGTGGGCGACATGCCAAGCATTAAGCTAAAGCACACAACCACAGTTTTCTGCCAGGTGCAGGTCCAAATGGGTTTGACCGGTTGTAACCATGCAGACTTGTTCGTGTACATTGGAGAGCAACAAAACGAGTGCATCCGTGTGGAATTTAACGAGGATTATTTTAACGATGTCGTCGAAAGAGCCTCGTTTTTTTTTGCAAGCTACTTGCTTCCACACATGGTCTGCATAAGATGAACCATCTAGCATGAAATAGGTTTACCAAGCCAATGTTGCATGTTTTTCTTTAGTGTGTTTGCCCATTGGGGACTGTGCAGTGCGACTGCTATGCCGCAACAGTAAATGGTGGGGCAAAATTCAAACTATCTCCTTCATCCATCGCTTCCTTTCAAATTAATTGTTGCCATTCATATTTCGTGATCTAGGTGTCGTGCCAACACATTCCATCTCATCTTTTGCGTGATCACTTAATGTTACCTAGATAACTTTTTTTTAAATGTGCTTTTGCTGATTTGAGCAGATGAGGTACCGTAGAATACCGCACATCCGCCCATTCCACATTAAGCACCCACCCCCAAATTTGTAAGATCTGAAAAAATATGCACAGTACATTGATATGTAAAATTGATAACCGGACAAGCGCCCATCCCTCATTTTTTCGAGATTAGTATCTCTGAATATGAGTGGGCGCTTGCCCGGTATTTTATGGTAATTACCGTTGCTGTGAATGAACTACCACAAATATTTTAAAAAACAAACAATGGATAAGAGTTAGTTTGATGTTCGCATCGCTATTTCTGTGTCTGAACTGGCCGCGAGAGGGGCGTAGCGGCACTGTTCCCATGATGCTCAGTTTTTGTAAAATTTAAATTTTGTGTCCACATCATTTTAAGATTAATCATTACTCTTAGATGGTGCTTGTCTTTCCACATTCTGCTCTGTTTTTGTTACTGCATTGTCACACTGATACTAAAATGAAACACAGCATAGAAAAAGCTTTGTACTGACTACACATGCTTGAAGAAAACAGTGATACATAGCAAGGTTACAATGATAGAAAAGTTTAATAACCATGCACATGCCACCAACAGTGTGTTTAGTTAACAGGCGAGCCCATTATGACCACCCTTGAATAGAAACTTGTTTTCGCTGAACAAGGGCTTGGAGAGGTTCACTGTGCCGGTGATTACAGTAAAAATCATGTCAATGTATGGTACGAGATCCAGGTCGAATCGGGTTTTCAAAATACGGTAGAGCTTCATTCTTTGTATTGCTCTTTCCACATGCACACGGGCACTTGCAATAGACTGATTAGCCCTCGCTTCATCTGCTGTGAGCTGTTTTTCCATCAGAAAAGGTGGTCTGACCATTTTGATATTCTTCTCTCTACAGAGTTCATTGATAAGAAAGCCTTTGTCGACCATGACGCTGTCGACGTGTGGGATACACTTGTCAAGTAGCTGGCACTGTTTTGTGATATGGGTGTCAGATGCTTTCCCACCATACGCTGGGCTCACATAACTAATCAAGCCACCTGGCGTCTCACTCACGAGAACCTTCGCTGTGTATGTCCGCTTATAATGACTGTAGGTCAGCAGCCTCGACATTAGGTCCTTCGGTCTCTCGATTTCTACTTCTGTGCAATCGAGCACCATCCTTGTGTCTTTGTACTCGCGGAAGTAGGTTGTGAGGCAGCTGACCACGACATCTTTTTCGGGCCAGAAAATTGCATGTTCAAGTATGCTTGAAAGAATCACAACAGACTCTTTAAAGATGTTGGAAATTGTGGTACGGTGCACACCGAACAGTACTGCCAATAGCGAAAATGTGACATCATGGTACAACTTCATAAAGGTCAGGAGGACGGCATCATCATTGCTTAAGCAGAATGTGCGGGTTGTTTGGAGCACACGCGCCTCCGTGTACAGTTCTGTAATGTTGTAGAAGAGCTCGAAGGAGCACACTCCTGTCAATACAACCAATCCCTTTTCATCCGGAATTTTAGAGATTGTGATCAGCTGCTCCCGCTTGGATGGGCAACTTGTGGTGTCGACCTGGATCCCAATCTCTCTCTGGAACTCCTCAAGCTCTGTAGCGAGCTCTGAAAGAAAAAAAACAAAACAAATTGGTACGGAGAGAACAATCTACCACTTTCCGAATGGTTGGTCCGAGGGTTTTTATGTAGGAAAACAGTAGAAACACATGCTTCCAAGCAAAGTGCTCGCACTGGTTGGTGCCTTGCGCACAGACTCTTCATACCAAAAAGCAGTCAAACCAACAACTCGGAAAGTGATCGATTAGACTGTTTGTATAGCAGCGAAGTAATGACATTATATGTTTGTTACCTTCACCATTTGCGAGGTGTTCCCCAGGACTCTCGTCGGGGACCACTGGGGCATTGGATCGTGTTGCCGTTGAGCCGCACAATGACGTTTCAGACGAGGTTGAAGTGGTGTGGAGTGTCTGAATCACTGCCATATGGAAATAAAGAATTTTGTACATGCTTTCGCTGTCATCATGAAACATTTATGTTACCCAATCTAATAGTTCAACTGGATTGACAAGGTATGCCTATTATTTCTCCCATAAGTGCTCTTCATGCCTCTTAAGCAAAAGAAAAAAAATATATGAAAAAGTCTGTTGCCAGAGCAGGAAATTTACACATTGTGTTGTACTATCAACATTCCGAATGCATCTGCGAGCCAGGAACAGACCTGCAGTGCCTTATGTGAAGGGCCTGGTACGATGACCAAAAAGTTAAAAGAAAAAGACACGGTGGAGCAGATATTTGAATGTTAACCCTGCTTGCAAATTATTACTGCTGGGTTTCGATAAACCTTTTGGTGGTATCTGGTCCTGGTCAAGTTAATCATTGTTTGAAGACTAACGTGAGGCAGGATGTCTAAGCTATTGTTTGTGGTTTCTCGACAATTTATACTTTTTATACTCCGAAAATTATATTCCTGCACACTCAAATTGCCCCAGGCTAAATGAAGACCCCGAAAGTTCTGCATACACAAACTACTGTTTTCCATAAGTCCAATCTGCCGTGCTTCCGCTGCAGAATGCTCGTCTGGAGAGCTGACCGAAGCACCCTCGTTTCCCTGTGTTGTCAGGAAATCCTGCTGTGTGGAGGTTGGAAGTTGTGGCAGCGGGGGAGGGCACGCAGGGGTGCCCCTTTCACCTGAAAAATATGCAAATAGATATTAAATGGTACACTACCACCACTAGTAGTTTCGATGACAACCTTCCAGCTCAAAATTCTAAACAGGAAAGCGGGTGGTCGCTTGTTCGTGCTAACTCCGTCGCCTCGCGTACGCGTGCGATGCAGTTAGTGCACGCAACATTAGCTGATCATGTTTTCAGCGAGAGATATTTGTATCGGAAGCTCGCGCTTCCATTTCGAAGCATGCTTCGTAGCGCGTACCAGGTGTGGTAGTGGGCCTCTGAAAGCTGTCTACTCAATCTCCCTATTAGTTTACGATGGAGGTGCAATCATGCTAACATATTCCCAGCACTCATCAAACGCCATGAACACAGTTTGAAACACTTACGTCGCCGCTTCGCCGATCCCTCGCATGACCGCCTGACGTCGTGTGGACGCACGGGAAGATTCACCGACGGAATTGCGTCCGCCGATAATTTTCGGAACTTGTAACCTAACACGAAGGAAAAGTTACAAAAACGTTGAGAAATTGCGCCGAAATTCCTTGTTATCGGTCTTACCGAGGATCTTGTAGACCGGGTAAACGAAATCTTCCTCTTGAAAGTGCTTGCTGCATACGAGGGCGGACGCTGTTGGTGCTTTCCCCATTCTTAACTTAATTACCCAAGATTTTCGTAGCCTCGATGACTTCGGGTAGCGGTGAAAGCTAACACCGGGTACTCTTCGAGACTTGCACTGTGGCACAGAGCAATAAGTAACCATAATTATGAAGCCCGCGTGAGCCAAATTGCCGAATCTCGGAATGCGGGGTCCTCCGCCTGACGTCACGGCGCACTTCGTCCAATCAGAACGCGGCGACCTCAGCGCCGCTCGTGTTCGTTCTCCTGGCTAATAGCCACCATAACCGGGCCCCCGCAGCGCGTCACCAGGACCCAAGCGCACGTCACACGACACTGGACCTCACTTAATCCCTTTACCCCTAAGCTGACATTGCGGTGGAAGCTAGGCGGTTGCCGGACCAATCAGCCGTCTCCCTTTCATCACCTGACCTCATTCTCTGCGGGTCGGTATGCGCGAGAGGGCGTGATCACGTGGAAAATGTGTGGCTGGCCCAACGAGCATGTAGCTTCCACAGCACTGTCAGCTTCGGGGTGGGGAAAGCAACTAGTCGGAATTTTGAGCGACGGGCTAATCTTCTAGGGGGACAATGGCTGTGTCCGGCTACACAAGCCAGATTCCGAGCAAGAGGGGACTCCCCCCTTTCCGATTCCTTGAACTGCTTGGTACAATGCGCGATTTATGAGTTGAGGAGGAAAGCTAAACAGAAAAAAGTTGAAAAAGCGTTTCATGACTCCTTTAAAGAGGTACTCCGCCGATTTCTTCATGGTCCCCGATTTGCTTGAAATTTTGCTAAACTCGCCAAACATCATCGCCAAAATAGTATCCCAAATATTAGGTCAAAATAATTTTTTTTCACGAAGTTATTGAATTTACAATTTTGGTCCTCACCGTGTTTTTCAAACTGAAAGTCTCTACTGGCAACAATGAAAAAGTGACGTCATTGGAAGTGCAGGGGTTCACTCTTTGGACTGTAGAATTTGTTCCCAACTGATTTGAAGCAGTTTTATGGTGTCAAATGAATGCCTTGGAAGCTCGCTCCAGTCCCCGCACTCCAGCACGGAACAAATAATTGGCATATTCTATTTTTTAGACTGCTCGCCCGACTGGCAAGCTGAACTTCCACTGACGTCACGGCCCTGAAAAGGGCGGGTATATTTGAATGTCCGTTTTTGCATCATTTTCATTTGCCGATTTCGCAATAACTATTATGAATTTCACGATATTAAATAGCATTCCAGAAAGGGTAAAGGCCTGGGAGTCAGAAAATATAGTTAGTTGAGGTAGCTCAAAAATCGGCGGAGTACCCCTTTAAGTGTTGTGCACGAGCGCGGAGTGCGTGAAGGCATCTCTAAACGCCCCTCCGCGAGCCCAGAACTTCGTCGCGTCTACGCCGAAGCTTTCTCGAGTAGGACCATGCCTGTGTAACTGTCATGGTTTGGGTTAGTAAAGTGAGTGGCGCTTCGCGGCGAAGCCTGTCCCGGCGTTTTGTCTCGATCTGTACGTAACGGCAGCGTACGATTCTTTATCGCGGTAGCAAACGTCGATTTCTCTCTTGGACAACGGTGCCACGGTGCGATGTTGGAGTTTCGCGGAACTGTGGAGAGGCGAACAGGTTTGGTCCGTCCTCGCTGGCGTCTGCTCGTCTTCTCCCTCGTGTGGATGCGCTTGGGAGACGGACGAACCGCGGACATGTCGTCACGTGATCAATCCATCCGCGGATCAGTCCGTCGTGTGAATTAGCCTTAACGGCGACGCGCTCTTGGCTGCCTCGTCATCGCACGTTCGCTGCGCTTTCCCCTTGTTGCCCTTTGATTGGCGTGCTCCTCCTCCGGTTCCGATAACACGCATTTTGATATACTTGCTTGCCTTATGCTGTAGCGGTCCCCTTAGAGTTATTCAGTAATTAAAATTCTCACGCTATATTTTTTATTCACCCAATATCATTTCCATCGAATGATATATGTTATTACGAAGAACCTGAAAACCGAGGTAAAATAAGGAACAGCACAAACACGAAGAATCAGTGCTTGTGGTACTCCTTATTTTACCTCAATCTCGGGGCCCTCCGTAATTATGCTCGATTTGCAGCTCGTTTCCTCACATTATGGGATCGGCGATTGAGCTCGCGATCCTAATTCAAAATCGGGGCGTGCGTATGTTTATACAGCCTGAACTCATTTCATCTGCCTCAGCGGGCGATTTCTCTCTGAGCTGTAGATGCGAAATTTAGCCAGTGCAGTACGACCGCTAGCAGAGGGTCTTTAACGTGCACCACCCGTCAGTGATACACGACCGCACGACGATGCGATGTTCATCCCGTTATAAACGGGCAGCAGTGGGGATTGAACCCAAGATCCCTGGGTACAGCAGCGCGAGCTTTCGCTCCACATGCTTCGAGCTGGTGTGCGCTCGCGCACTCGGCCACCGATCCCCCCTCTATCTTGACTACAAGTCTCATGCGAGCAGAAGCGCGGGCTGATTGGCCGAAACCAGAATGTCTTTCAATGGTGCTGTGTAGCAGGATCGCAAGGTGTACAAAAATAATAATTGAACTTTAGGAAAGAAACGAGAGAAACTTGTCGATTATACTTAGGTATTGAGGCGCGGTCAGCAACTACGAAATCACCATTCTCGCAGAGCGTTATCTACATAGAATTTCGCTATGCACGCCGTGCTGAATTTTCACGTGCCGAGTGTTTAGTGTAGCACGCGAATCGAACGCATATAGCCAAGCGCTATTCGGGGGTTTCATTTCATCACACGCTGCATAGGAACAAGTACCATATCTGGGATGTCGGAGAATGTTGAAGGTAAGCTCAACTAAAAGGCAGCTTAAATTATACGTAATAGATATTTTTCATTTGTCGTCGAAATTTGGGATACAAAAGATGCGTGCCCAATCTAAAGCGAATCAGTGTTCTTTTTTAAGGCTTTCTACTTGAGACTGGTATGCTTGTTGATTGCCAACTCACGTTCAAATCTCATGTCACTATATACCATCTGTAATACCGGTTTTAAATTGCTTGGTATCAGCTCATGTTTGAGTCGGTGCGTTCAAGCACCTGATGCTATGTTGCGTTTATTTTGTGCCGTGATTAGGCCCCGACTCGAATTCGGTTCTGCCGTGTGGAAAAACCATTTATAGAAAAGCGAATATCATCGTATCGCGGCCGTACAGAAGCGTTTGGTTTGCATGATCGATGATAATCATTTTCACAACAGATTTGATTTTGAATACCATTTTCTTGCTAAGGCTTTTGGATCTCAGCACCTAAAGGGGTTAGGACACGAAAATTAATCGGATCCATATTTCTTGAAATTGAATGTTCATAGGCTACATAGTATATACACCATTTATGGCGATTTCTTAAGCTCCAGTAATTACAACACTCAATTTACAAATTTTTTGATAATTTTCATCTATCGACCAGACAACACTGCCCAAATTAGTAACACCATAGTGCCGCTAAGCCGAGTGATCATGAACGCTCTCTCACCCATGATCGACCAAGCTCCCCTCGCCACGGTACGATCAAGACCGCTCACGCACTCGACTACTCCAACGCTATTCTCGCTCTCGCCCCCGGCCTTTTGACCTTCCACCCTGCATGCACCTGCGAATTGTCACGCACGACGGCGACCACGGCGAGTTCGTCCGTGACTCGTCGTCGCTGGAACTGGTCGCCAGCGGGTCGCACTTAAAATTACCAGCTTCCAACATCTCTTTACAACAATCACTCTCATCGCTGCTGCGATCAGTGTCGAAGGCTTCGATGAAGCCAGATATGCCCTATAGACGTAATCGTGACGGACCGCATGCTCGAAACGCGGAAGGTAAACGAGGAAGTTGCGGTTCGAGACACCAAGACAGCTAAGTCAGTGAGTGCGTTCTAGGGGACGTCACGCGTTGGGCTGGTGACGTCACCAAAAATGCAGACAAGAGTCTAAAGCCTGGTTCAGACAGTTGCGTTTGACTGCGTTTGACTGCGTTGCGGCAGCGAGAAACCAGGACATCCCGGCTGCTTATATCGCGTGCCAAGATGATTCCTTGAATTGGATTCCACGCTTCATACGAAGCACAAATGTGCCGGTGACTCGCTTTCGGTACTCGACGCAACGCAGTCAAATGCACTCAAACGCAAGTGTCTGAACCGGCCTTAAGGCCACGGTCCCACTGAATGTGGCAGTTTGGGTACTTTTTGGCAGGTCATTACTCATCTCCTTTTAAATACTGTTTTGTGGGATTGATGTCATTCGAAAGGCAATGCAATCCTCTTTCATTTGATATTATGTGTTTGTTGGTTTTTACTGTTCATGCGCATTTGTAGCGTTGCGAATATGATGGCGCGGACCCTCACTTGCTCCCCTAGTTCATGTTTTATGAACGATCCATTAAAGATAACACGGTTCCAATATAGCAGTTTTGTTAAGATGATGTCGGAGCAGAATGTAACGATACACTTTTTTGGTATTTGCAATACTTTGTTTTTTTCATCCCTCCAAATATTGCCCTAAAATTGACATTTTTTAGCACAAATATGTTTTTAATGACAAGTGCTAGGACAATGAAATTAGCTACAGATGTAGTGCTTATAATTGGTAATATGCAGAAAAAAATTTAATGTTGTGTAAAATTTTTTTGTTTAGATATTTTATATCAAACGTAGCACTTTTTTGTGCTTCGAGTCATGGTACTTCAAATGCCACTGAGGAAATAATTAAACTATGATAAAATCTTTTATAACATTTAAAGCTACAATGGTTGCCCAAGAGGTGGACGATGGCTTTTTTTCATTTTCAAAGTCATAACGCTCCTGGAGCCCTTCAAACTTACCTGTTTTTGACGTATATCTTTTTTGACTTCAAACAGATTTATTGGCATCTAATAACATTTATTGTTTTGAATAGATAAACATTGCGATGTATTAAATTTTCACAATGATCTTGCTTTGGTTTTTTAATAGGAGTAGAGCTTAGCTAATTTTAAAACAATTAAAAACTGTTTGGGTGTTTTGTTGCGCTACCTGGTGGATGGCAGACAAACTGCTGATTCCTAATGTTCAAAAAATTTCCGAAGGCGGCGT